GTAGGACCAGCTGGTGGCGGAGCTGGTGGGACCAGCTCAGGAAAGGGCAGGAGAGGGGCTACATTGAGGAGGGGCAGGAAGCAGGAGACCCAGAGAAGGATATGCCCCACGGCCAACAAGGCCACGGGCTGCTTGGAGGAGGAGGGTTACGGTGGGAAGTGGTGGGGTGCGCAGTAGGCATGCTGCTCGGCAGGAGGCTCTGCAGGTGGGGGTCCACAGGCGGGGCTTCTGTGGCTGCCAGGGCTGGGGGTCTCCCAGGGCTGGCTGCTGGTGTGGGATACGCAGAAGGCATGGCAGGTGTGCAGGGCAGGCACTGGCTCTGTCGGCCACAGCCCAGGCTGTGCCTCCCACCAAGCTTGGACTAGAACAAGGCAATGAGAAGTGGATGCTCACACAGGCACAGTGGCTGAGACGTGCCCAGGGCCACTTGGCCAGGAAGGAGCAAAACCCAGAAACAGGCTGGTGTGGCCCCAAACCGCTGGCTTCACTCCACGTGCCTGGCCACTGCATGAACATGCCCTCTCCCATGGGCCGGCATGGCTGTGGACAGAAGAACATTGCAACAGTGCCCTGAGCTTTGTTCTAGCTGCAAAGCACCCGATGGGTGTCGGAGCCCACGCAAGCCTCACCTACATGAGCTGCCGGGGGCAGGTGCTGAGGCAGGCCGAGGGAGGCTCCTGGCTGACACCCCGCCAGGCCCCTGGCGGCTCCTGACTTTGTCAGTGACATCAGCAGCTTTCCATAAGGCCTCACTCGAAGTGCTGAAGTCACCCCGAAACTCTGGCTTCCCTACTATTCCAAGTTCTATGAATTTAGCTAAGCCCTTTCTCTGACAGATGACATCTTCCTATTAAAACTTAGGAGGAAGATGCCTAACTGGCCTCTCCTGGCCTTCACTGGACACCGTCTGAGTCCTGGCCTCGGGGTGCCCAAGCACTGACAGCCATGCTGTGCACATGCCTTCCACAGGCACCTGCCACGCACCCGTGAGTTATCTAGAACCTGGAAAGCAGATGGCTGAGATCACTCCAGAACCATTGCTGGGGGCAGCTGGAGGCCCTGTTTTAAGTTTCCTTCTGCCTTTCCAACTTTGTGTCACTTCCTCTTGCCTCTTGCTCAGCTCTTGTCATCCTCAGGGTCCTGAACCTGGTTCCAGTGCACACAGTTCTCGGCAGACCTCCCCTGGCTTACCGTGTGCCAGGCACCTCAGGGGACACCTGTGGGATCCCGCACCACCATCCAGAAGTGCAGGGGAGTGAATGCCACCCCAGAGGCGACCGCAGATGACAAGACCAAGGGTAAAGGCTTCTCCCCTTTGTGCTCTGAGGGACACTTCTCCAGAGCGCTGGGAAGGTTTGGGGGGCCAGTTCCAGCTGCCCATAGTGGGGACCCCATCAACAGAGCACACTGGTCCTGGCTCCCTCTCCTTCCCTGCCTCACTCCCCTGCTCCCAGCTTCCTGGGAACAAAAACCCTCACTGCAAAGGCCCCGACTCAGGCTCTGCTTTCTGGGCACCCGGGCCAAGACAAACATTCTATGTGATGCTCGAATGCTTGCATCAAATCCACTCCAGATGTTTGCTCAGCTGTTAATTGAATGCAACCTCTAATGGGAACCTCATTACTTCCTACAGCCAGTCCAGTGAATGAGTCCAGAATCTGGCTTCAGGTCAATCATGTGTGCCAGGCTTTCATGAGATACTATTCTTAAAGTGCCTGGCACTTGGGAAATGCTTCGTTAATGGGATTCTCCTTCTCTCTCCACAGTTCCTGATAACCTGGTCCATATTAGAACAATGCAGATTGGCAGAACAATGGCTTCCATCCACTAGTTATTCCTCAGGAAACATTCATTGTGTGCTTTATGGGCAAGGTGCTGAGTGGGGTCTTGATTCTCCCTGTGCGCCGTATAGGGCTGTCCAATCCCTCTTTCATGGGACATGATTTCAGGTCTCTGTGGAACACCGGTGATCCTCCTTGTGACAGCACTTTGCCCCTATGCCCAGTAGGGGTGGGGTCACTCCCAGAGAGAATGATTGAGCTGGGCGTCAGTGCTCCAAGGGAGAGCTGAGAGCCCTTGGAGGAGAAAGGAAAGATGGCACTACTGGGCTCTCCCCTCAGGGTGCTGTTCAGATTTCACAGCCACCCACGGGCCAACCCCTGCTTGTAGCTGTGGGGACAGCAATGGGGTCTGGGGCACCCTGACCCTGTACCCAGTGGTCAACCAGGTAGAGGGGATGAAAGAATGAGCCAGAGACCCTGCTGTGGCAACAGAACCTCAACAGGTCTGAATTCCAGGAACTCAGGGGAATGCTGAAAATGGAACTGATGTGACCATGTCCACACCAAGCCTACGTCCTGTAGGTTACTTTGTTTAGAAGGTATGGGCTGCAACCCCTTGATGAGCCATTAAACCAACACAGCCAGTCCCAAGCCACCTTAAAACGTGAGAAGAGACCATACCAGCTCATGCCACACATCGTCAGGCAGCGCCGGTGAAAACATATTTACTATCCAGGGGCTCTGGCCCCATGGGCAGCCAGTCTCGTGCAGGCTGAGGGCACTGTCTTCCCCAGGGCCCGGCAGCCCCTGGCCTCTCGGCAGGCGCATTGTCCTGGCAGGTCCAGCTGGAGCTCTGTTGGGGTTCATCCCACCAAGAAACCAGGAAAGCACGTTTGGAGGTCTTGCAGTGCAGGCTGTTGGGGACGCCCGGCTGTTGTTAGAGCTCGAACTCACCCTTCCCTGTCACACTCGAAGAAGACACATTATGCGTCTGGGGCCCAGCACCCAGACCTCACTACATCTTTGCCCCCACACCAGCATCTTAAGAGCCTGTCGGGCAGTTTCTAAATTTGAAGGCCCTGGAAATTGGCACCAGGTCTTCTGAATACAACCAGTATCCACCAATTCATCTGCATAAGTAGCAACTATAAGAAAAATGTCATTTGGTGAGTCAGAAGCTGGAGGAGTTTTCTGTGCCTCCCCTCACATGCCTGTGACTTCGTTCATATTTTCAGTCCACCCCAAGTCCTCCCTCTGTCCCTCTGGTGGGAGCAGGGGTCAGTCCCCAGGGTCTGGTCTCTCTGTTGAGAATCTTCTCACCTGTGAAGAAGGGATTAATCTCAGGCCCTCACCCAGCCTCAACTCTGCATTGATACCATGTGCCGTGGAGGTGCGAGGCACCGCGTGTGACCCCTTACCTCTTCCTCCCGCCAGGTACTGGGGAGCCGGCTCTAAAGCCTACAGGTATCCTGGTAGCTACTACGAGACTTCTTACCAGCTTGTTTAAAATAAACTACTCCTGGGCGCCTGGGTGGCTCAGTTGGTTAAGCGTCTGCCTTCGGCTCAAGTCATGATCTCAGGTCCTGGGATCCATCCCCGCATCCGGCTCCTGCTCCGCGGGAAGCCTGCTTCTCCCTCTCCCACTCCCCCTGCTTGTGTTCCCTCTCTTACTGTGTCTTTCTCTGTCAAATAAATAAATAAAATCTTAAAAAAAAAAAAAAAAGCAATGTAACTTACTTTAAAAAAAAATTAAAATAAAATAAAATAAACTACTCCTAATATGCCAACCTTTGGAGAACATTAGGTCCTTGGGAACGAATTCCCAGACTGCCTTTATCCCACTGCAAATAAGGCAGCATTTTTACTCATCTGACCTAAGAGTTTCAACCTGTACAACAGGCTTTGCAAATACAGATGCAGGTTTAGGAAAAATTACATTTGAAGTGATGCTTAAAAAATCTCAAGCAGAAGTTTGGCTTTGCTTTCACTGTTAGTTTGTAGAGTGATTTGCATTTAATCTTGGTTTGGGGCAGTAAAGACTCTGTCCCCGCAGGCATGGCTGTAAACCTGGTCACTGATTCACATCCTTTGGGACAAAGGCCCGGTGGGGACAATCGGGGTGCGCGCCGGCAGGGTCTACTAGCTCCCAGCAGTACTCAGTGGTACCCCCAGGGGCCGGTCCCCCTGGGAGGGGCAGAAGCTCTCAGGGGTCACACAGCTGACAGGACACAGCCGGATAAGGATGTCGCCTCTGCTGAGCCGAGCTGGAGGGACCACCTGGGGGAAGGTGTTCTAAGGCACCCACACGGCGGCCCCAGAGTCCGGGGAGCCCTTCTCCTGCTGGGGACGCAGAAACGAGGCGCGGATGCCAGCGGGCACAGCCAGGCCCCCGCCCCCTGCACCCCTTCCTTGCTGGGGACAGCTCAGGTGTCCTTGTCTCCCGCCCCCAGGCTTCTCCTTGTCCTCCGCCGGGCCAATCAGATGACACGTCACCTGCCTGCCTTCTCTTAAAAAAATGTTATGTGAAAGGTCGTCTGGTTTGGATTTTAAGTTGTAACCGACGGTAGAGCGTGGGTCCTTTCTCACAAACCCCACCCTCTCACAACCAAAGAATTTTTATAACATTTCATTTCACTGAGGCCCTCGGAGGGATTAATTCCCTCAGGGAGGAGCAGGCGGGCTGGAGGCCCGAGGAGAGGGCAGAGAAGACACGGGGGACGCAGGAGCCACCCAGGCCCCAAAGCACAAGACTTCAGTAACCGGGGCACAGCGCCCTCGGCCCGGGCCCTCCCTCCCCTTCCCCCTCCCGTCCCCTGCCTCCCTGCCCTCCCCACGGGCCCGCCCCCTGCCCTGCCGCCCCCGTCCTCCTCCTCCTCTCCCTGGGTGTCCCCCCGCCTGCCCCCTAGCACTCCCTGGGCCCTCTGCCCTCCTCCGGCCCTCCCCTGCCCACCGACCCGCCCCTCCCGGAGCCCCTCCCGGAGCCCCTCGCGGAGCCCGCTCCTCCCCGGGCCCCCTGCCCCTCCCCACGGCTTGCCCCTCCTCTCCCCTCTGACCCGGGCCCGCCCCTGCCCCCCCTCCCGGAGCCTGCCCTTCTCCGTGCACCCTGCCCTCCCCTGCCCCCCTTCCCACCGGCCCGCCTCCTCCCCTCCCCCGCCCCGGGCCCGCGAGGTGCTCCCCGCCCACCCCGGGCTTCCCGCCTCTCTAGGCCGCTCCTCCCCACTCCCCGCCGATCGACGGCTCCCCACGCCAATCGGAGGCGCCCCGGCCTCGGCCCCGCTGCTCGGCGAGCCGGCCGCGCACGCGCCGCAGGCCGACGTGGGCGGTGGAGCGCCCGGGGCTTCGAGGGCGGGGCGGCCGGAGGAGCGCGTGGCCATGCGGGCCCGAGGGGACCCCGCCGCCGCCGCCGCCGCCGCCGCCGCCGCGCCCCACGTGGTAGGTGCCGGGGCCGCGGGGCGCGGGAGCCGCCTCCGCCCCTCCCCTTCTCCTCCCGTCCCCTGCCCCTCCTCCCCCTCCCCCTCCCCGCGGCGGGTCCGCACTCCCCCGGGGCTTGCTTGGGAGGGTCTCCGCCCGAAGCAGCCTGCAGCCCAGGAAGTTGGACGGAAATTCACGTTATGTTTTGTATTGTAGATCTCGAGAACAGGGAAGATACTTCTTTTTTTCTTTTCCTTTAAAGAATAATGTTTCCTTTAAAAATAAATATGTAAGTAAATTAGGTGACCACTTTTTTGGATAACATAAATTCGGGAAGGGTTATCCCTGTGTTGAATCAGATCCTCAGAGTAAAGAACTTGACTGAATTCTACTTTCAATCTATGAGCTTTTCAAAACCGTATTCGGATTTGTTATTTTTATAATCCTATCCATTTTCTATGTAGATGTAGAATGCACATATATGTACATGGATGTTTGTGCCATGCGTATGTACTATACACACCTGGATGACCTGTGTTTCTGTTTTCTTATTTAGGAATTTGTTCACTCCTCACTAGGGTATAAACTCTAGGGCTGGGAGGCACTAATTTCTATCTTTGGGTATTCTATAATTGCTTAACGTGGTAACATAAAATTAAGACAATTCCTGCAATGAGTTCTTTTGTTGGCAGTCAGGTTTCACTGGTTTTACTCCATACACTTTAGACATTTTTGTTTTATCTGGGCTATAGGAGAGAAGGACCGCACCAAACTCCTAAACTAAGTAGAGCAAAAGGACAGAGAGGTATATGGAGGTCACCCCCATTTTCCCAGCACCCACCCCATACTTTGTTAAAGCATGTGTCCAGGGACTTAAAAAGAGTTTTCTTGCAGTTTCTCTAACATAGTTTACCGAAAATGCTTACTCCACCGAGAAAAGGACCAAAGGTTATTTTCATGAGTGGGTTGGAAGATACACAGATGCTTGTTTCAACCAAAATGATGTTTCTGACCAGTGTTTGGAACGCACATGAATTTGTCATTGAATTGGGAAAATTTTTGGTGCCTCTCAGATTCTTGTTTGCTTTTCAAAAGTATCCAAAAGGATACTTCCCCCAATTCAGGGAAATCTAAGACATAATAAATCTTAGGCAGCAAAAGAACGTTAAGAGCTTGGTGAGAAGGAATAGGCACCTTCTGTTTTGGGGGACACATTCTTTCTCTGGAAGCCAGGCCTCCGCCTTTGGAGATGCTCAGTGGTAATGGGGAAGAAAATTAGAGTGGAGGAAAAGGCATTAGCTTTCACACGTGTATATGTTAACCCCTTTCTCTTGAATTGCAGTCTATCATCCTCCCAGTCCACAACGCCGAACCGTGGTTGAATGAGTGCTTGGAGTCTGTTTTGCAGCAGGACTTCGAAGGCTCCATGGAGCTCTCGGTTTTTAATGATGCCAGTAAGGTATTTGTGAACTTGCTTTGGTTATGTAGCCCTAGCATGAGTCACATCGGAGTGCTTTGAGAAAGTTTCCTGAACTGCCAATGTCCTCGTGCTTTCAGGATAAGTCTATGACTATCATTGAGAAATGGAAGGTGAAGCTGGAAGGTTCTGGTATCCCCGTGGTCATTGGCGGGCACGCTTCTCCTTCACCCCGAGGAGGTTAGTGACCCTGTTGTTTTATTATTCAACTGTAAGGAATGGTTTCTTATGACTTGTGTACTTAACCACCGTTAACCTTAACAGTAACACTGCCCGCTGTTTCACCAGCAAAGAAGGGTGCTCTGTACTAGCGGAGAATCCCAACCCAGGACACACAGGTTCCACCACAGCCACAGACCTGTCCAGAGAGTAAGGAGAGGAGGCTCTTTTTATATGGGGTGGGGGGTGGTGGGGAGGGGGGGGTGAATTGTTGTAAACAGGAAGTCCATTGGAGTAAGCTGGGAGCTGGAAGTGTGGTGGCTTCTCATTGGCTGGGCTGTGGCCACCTCCCATTGGCTGGGCTGTAGCTGCCTCCCATTGGCTGGGCTGTGGCTGTCTCCATTGGTTGGGCTGTGGCCGCCTCCCATTGGCTGGGCTGTTGCGGGGGTAGCAGGAAACCTTCCTTCCTGGAGCTGGGTTACTAAAGTAGTACCCACCTGTAAGGGGCATCTCTTCCTATTGGGTCTGCAGTTGGTAACCAGTGCTGGGCACAGAGCTCCCCCTGCCGGCCTCCTAACTCTGCTCCAAATAAGATTTTCTTTTATTAACTTTACTAATAATTTCGTTTTCAAATCCTGGTGAAAAGTATCCTGAATAATAAAGTTTATCACTTATTAAGAACCCAGTACACCTAAATTTCTTATTCCTTGGTAAGGATTTGAATGAGACCACCAGGCATACTTAATACTTATTCAACCTAACAAAAAGCCGTTGGGTGTTTTTATTTTTAATGTGAATGATCATATTATTGGTCACCTCTGCTGCTTAAAATTCATTTCCTGTGACATTAGATTTGTTTTTGTCCAATTTTTAAAAAATCTTATTAAGAACTAGCTTTTGGTTTCTTTGATTTTCTATATTCTTTTTTTCTATTTTGTCTGTTTTCTGTTTCCACTCTGATCTGTATTTTCTTCTGCTTACTTTGAGTTTAATTTGTTCTTTTCCTAATTCTTTTTTTTTTTTTTAAGATCTTATTTTATTTTAGAGGGAGAGTTCACAGGCGTGAGTGCATTCAAGTGGGGGGTGGGGCAGGGCCGGGGCGGGGTGGGGGGGTAGGGGCAGGGAAGAGAGAATCTTAAGCAGACTCCCCACTGAGCACAGAGCCCCAGTGACCCTGAGATCAGGACCTGAGCTGAAACCAAGAGTCCATTGCTCAACCGACTGAGCCACCCAGGTACCCCTGTTCTTTTCCTAATTCTTTTTTTTTTTTTTTTAAGATTTTTATTTATTTATTTGAGAGAGAGAGAGAACATGAGGAGGGGGTGGGCAGAGGGAGAGAGAGAAGCAGGCTTCCCACCAAGCAGGGAGCCCGACGGGGGCTCGATCCCAGGACCCTGGGATCATGACCTGAGCCGAAGGCAGACACTTAACGACTGAGCCACCCAGGCGCCCCATCTTTTCCTAATTCTTAAGTTGGAAGCTGAGGTCATTGATTTGAGACTTTTCTTCTTTTCTAATATAGGCATTTCATGATATAAATTCCCCTCTTACTATCACTTTAGGAACATTGTGATGTTCTTTTCATTTTCATTCTGGGTACACCTTCAAATTTTCTTCAAACACCTTCTAATTTTCTTTTGGCTTATTTATGGATTATTTAGAAGTATGTTAGTTTCCAATATTTGAGAGGTTTTCCAGATATTTTCTGTTATTGATTTCTAATGTAACTCTTCTGTAGTAAGAGAACATACTTTGTTTGTCTTGAATGTGTGGCCTATCTTGGCAAATGTTGTGTGCACTTGAGAAGGTTGTGTAGCTCTTGGTGTTGGATGGAGTTTTCCATAAATGTGAATCAGGTCAAGCAGAGGACAGTCTTGTTTAAATCTACCGTGTTGCTGATTTGGGGTCTACTTGTTCTGTCAGTTATTGAAAGGGGGCATTGAAATCTCTAACTCTGCACATTTGTCTATTCCTCTCTGTAGTTATATCAATTTGGGTTAGCAATATTTTGAAACTCTGTTAACATTTAGGGTTGTTATGAAGAATTAACCCTTCATCATTGTGAAATAACCCTCTTGATCTTGCTGATTTTCTTTGCTCCAAATCTACATTGTTTGATATTAATTTAACTGCTCTGGCTTTATTTTGACTAGTGTTAACATAATATATGTTTTCCATCTCTTTAAATTTTTAATCCATTTGTTGAAGGGTACCTCTTTTAAAGGGTAGCCCCTCCCTGTAGATTCTTGTAGACAGCAAATCCAGTCTGATAATCTTCACCTTTTAACTGGGTGTTTACATTAGTTACATTTAATATAACAGCTTTATTCATATGCCACGCAATTCACCCATCAAAGTATATAGTCTTATGGTTTTTAGTGTATTCCCAGATCTGTGCAGCCACCCCCACAGTCAGGTTTAGAACACTTTCATCACTTCACACAGGGACCTGGTGTTCTCCAGTCATCACCCTCCGTACCCTGCTCCCACCAGCCCTGCACCACCACTAATTAGGTTTCGTGTATAGATTTGTCTGTTGAGGAGATTTCTGCATATATGTTTGTAAGGGATGTAGGTGTGTGGTTTTCCTTTCCTGTGATGTCTTTAGGTATGGTACAGTGATGCTGGCCTCACAGAATTGAGTTTAGTGTTTCCTCCTTTTCTGTTTTTTTGGAAGAGTGGGAAGGATTGGTGTTATTCTCTAAATGTTTGGTAGAATTCATCAGTGAAGCCATCTGGTTGGAAGGGTTTTCTGTTTGTTTTGTTTTTTGTTTTTCTTTTTTTTTTAAAGATTTTATTTATTTATTTGACAGAGAGAGAGACACAGTGAGAGAGGGAATGCAGGGGGAGTGGGAGAGGGAGAAGCAGACCTCCCACGGAGCAGGGAGCCTGATGCGGGCCTCGATCCCAGGACCTGGAATCATGACCTGAGCCGAAGGCAGACGCTCAACGACTGAGCCACCCAGGCGCCCCATGTTTTTTGTTTTTCTTAAAGATTTTATTTGAGAGAGAGGGAGACCATGAGTAGTGGGGAGGGGCAGAGGCAGAGGGAGAAGCAGGCTTCCCACAGAGCAGGTAGCCCGATGCGGGCCTCGATCCCAGGATCCTGGGATCATGACCTGAGCTGAAGGCAGACACTTCACTGACTGAGCCACCCAGACAGCCCTTTTGTTGGAAGGTTTTGATTAATGATTCAATCTATTTATCTGTTACAGGTCTGTTCAGATTTTTTATTTCTTCTTGAGTCAGATTTGGTAGTTTATGTATTTCTACAAATTTGTCCCTTTTGTGTAGGTTATTTAACTGGTTGGTACACAGTTGTTTGTAGTATTTTCTTAGAATCCTTTCAAATTTCTGTTAGTCAGGTACCCACTTCCATTTTGGTTTTCAGTAATTTGAGTTCCCTCTTTTCTTGATCTGGCTGAAGGTTTGCCAATTTTGTTGATCTTTTCAAAGGTTTCATTGATTTAACCCCCCCTTTTTTTTTTTACTTTCTATTTTATTCATTTCTCCTCTGATCTTTATTATTTTCTTCCTTTGCTAGCTGTGTGTTTAGTTTGCTCTTCTTTCTAGCTTCTTAACATGTAAAATTAGGTTAGTGATTTGAGATCTCTTTTACGTAGGCATTCATAGCTAAAAATTTCTCTCTGAGCACTGCTTTTGTTGTATCCCATAAGTTTTGGTGTGTTGTGCTTTCATTTTCACTTATTTTTAGGGATATATCTCTAAGAATATCTAAGCATATTCTAGGAATATGTCTAAGGATATTCCACTGTTGCATAGAGTGTCTGTATGTATTGTTAGGTCTGCTGGTTTATAATGTTGTTCAGTCTTTATTACTTTACTGCTCTTCTGTCTAGATGGTCCATCCATTATTGAAAGTGGGGTGTTGAATTCTTCAACTATTATAGTAAAACTGTCTTTTTTTTTTTTTTTTTTAAGAATTCATCCGGGGCGCCTGGGTGGCTCAGTCGTTGAGCTTCTGCCTTTGGCTTAGGTCATGATCCTAGGGTCCTGGGATCGAGCCCCACATCGGGCTCCCTGCTCCATGGGAGGCCTGCTTCTCACTCTCCCACTCCCCCTGCTTGTGTTCCTGCTCCCGCTATCTCTCTCTCTGTCAAATAAATAAAAATAAAACCTTAAAAAAAAAAAAAGAATTCATCCATTTGAGAAAGAGAGATAGTGAGAAAGAGCACGGGGTGGGGGGGGCGGGGGAGAAGGAGAAGCAGGCTCCTCGCTGAGCAGGGAGCCCAATGCAGGGCTCCATCCCAGGACCCTGGGATCATGACCTGAGCTGAAGGCAGATGCTTAACCGACTGAGCCACCCAGGTGCCCCCAAACTGTCTTTTTCTCTCTTTCATTCTGCCAGTTTTTGCTTCATTTATTTTGGGGCTCTCTTGTTAGATGTGTATAGTTTTGTAATTGTTATGTCTTCTTGATTGAACCTTTTATCAATATAGAATGTCCTTTGTTTCTAGTAACAATTTTTGACTTAGGGTTTATTTTGCCTGGTATCAAATAACCAAGCACTCCAGTACTCTTTGGGTTACTAGTTGAATGGAATATATTTTTCCATCTTTTCACTTTTAACTCCTCTCTGCCTTTGGATCTAAAGTGAATCTCTTATAGACAGTATTTAAATGGATCATGTATTTTTAAAATTCATTCTCCCAATCTTTGCCTTTTAATTGGAGTATTTAATCCATTTACATTTAGTAATTAGTGACAAAGAAGGCCTTTTACCATCTTGTTGTTTTTATCTGTACATCTTTTCTTGTTCCATAGTCCTCCATTAGTGCTCTCTTTTATGCTTAATTGATTATTTGTAGTGTGCCATTTTGATTCTCTTCTCGTTTCCTGTTGCATGTATTTGTCAGTTATTTTCTTAGTGCTTACTGTGGAGATTACAATTAATATATTAAATTTATAACAACCTAGTTTGAATTAACACCAATTTAGTTTCAATAGTGTATAGAGCTCTGTCCCACACAGTTCTGTACCTCCCACTTTATGTTGTTATC